TTCTTCAGATGTGTCTATAGATGAAAAGAAAGTGTCTGAGATTTTAGGAGACCTGATATGGGAGGAGATGTCTGAATGCATCATTCGTGAATGCCTGGTTCATTCCATACCGGCTAACAGTAGTCAGCTAGCTGAGTATAGCGAGGTAAGACTGCAAGGATCTGTCAGCATATGACAACTGTGCAGCATTCTTTGTAATACAATATTCAGTTGTATTCTCAGGTCATTAAACAGACTGAAGATTTCGAGAGCAGTCTGAAAGAAATGGGCTACCTCGCAGGGGACTCAACGGACCTCTTAAAATACGCCAGGAACATCAACTGCCACTTCGCAAGCAAAAAATGCCAAGATGTCATTGTGGCTGCACGGAAACTGATGACATCTGAGATGCACAACACAGTGAAAGTAAGACCTCTTCAAATTCTCTAATGTTAATTAAGCTATAAAAGATTTTAGTTACAGGCTTCTATATGCTCTTCTCATCCAGATCACTCCAGAGTATAAACTCTCTATCCCTAAACTACCAAGTCCCAGTGGAGGAGAGAAGGAGAGGAAGGAGTCTAGTAAGAAAAGAGCCCATTACGATCAGCAGAGCCTTGAAAACGAGAAGCAGCTGAGTCCCAACACTCTGTGCCTACCTGTGTGTCGCATTAGTGAGTCAGTGCAGCAGCTCATGGAGCTTGCCATTCAAACTCTGTCTGAGGTGGTGGGCAGCTCACCCCAGTGGTACGTAGCAGGCATTACAGACACTACAATTAAAGGGATAGTTCACCCAAAAATGAATATTTGATGTTTATCTGCTTACCTCCAGGGCATCCAAGATGTAGGTGACTTTGTTTCTTCAGGAGAACACAAACGCAGATTTTGAACTCAAACCGTTGCAGTCTATCAGTCTTATAATGTAAGTGAATGGGAATCACGGCTTTGGGAGTCAAAAAAACATACAAAAACAAATTAAACCCTGCGGCTCGTGACGATACATTGATGTGTAAAGACACAAAACGATCGGTCTGTGCAAGAAACTGAACAATATTTATATCGTTTTTTAACTCTGATTTTCCCTGCAATGTCCGAACTGTCTGTCCTGAGCGCGTCCTCCTGAGTGTGTTCTCAACAGCCAGCGCCGCCTTCTTGCTTTACGGCGGATCACAGACTTATAAGTGTATTATCGCCACCTATCTCTCAAATGGACCATTGACACTCCTAATTGAGATTGTAGATTCAGTTTTTTGCACAGACCGATCGTTTTGTGTCTTTACACATCAATGTATCGTCACGAGCCGCAGGGTTTAATTTGGTTTTGTTTGTGTGGTTTTTTTTTACTCCCAAAGCCGTGATTGCCATCCACTTACATTATAAGACTGATAGACTGCAATGGTTTGAGTTCAAAATCTGCGTTTGTGTTCTCCTGAAGAAACAAAGTCACCCACATCTTGGATGCCCTGGGGGTAAGCAGATAAACCTCAAATTCAAAATTATTTTTTGGGTGAACTATCCCCTTAAGCAGATACTAGGCATGCACCGAAATGAAAATTCTGGGCCGAAACCGAAAATTCTGGATGCACTTGGCCGAAAACCGAAACCGAAAATGCTTTGTAATGATTATTTATTATTTTATTAAATGGTCCAAAGTAATTTTGTAAGGCTTTTTAATTTAACTCAATTTTAATGATACTGAATTTAAAAAACACAACATACTTTTTACTGAAAGTAACACAATAAAATTGGACAGAATTTATATTAATATTAGTAACACATTACAATAAGGTAATGTCTTTAATCTTTTTCTTTAAATCTTTAAATCTTAGTTAATGTTAATTTCAACATTTACTATTAAAATCAACAGTTGTGCTTGTTAACAGTTAATGCACTCTGAATTAACATGAACTAACAGTGAACTGTATTCTCATTAACTAACAGTAGGAAAGATTAATAAATACTGTTATAAATGTATTGTTCATGTTAGTTAATAGGCTACATTAACTAACACTAACTAATGGAACCTTATTGTAAAGTGTTACCTTAATATTAAATATCACTATATTATTTTTATTCAGTTCCATGCAACATAATCAAATATAACTTTTTTAAACTAATTATCCAAATAATGTATAATCCTGCAAAGCTATTATTATCAGTGAGCAGAGCGTCACGAGAGAATAGTCATTTTACCAGCGTTGCCATGTTACAGCACAGTAGCGCTATTGCAGACAGGAACAAGTATACTATTTAAGCGGTACACGAGGGGAACATTCGCATTGGCCGTGAGCAACTCAGCAGAATGCACATTTATAGAGCGGTTTTTTCTTTCTCTCGGCTCGTTATTTCAGCCATTTTTCTCTTTAATAATAATGTCTTAATCTCTTTAATAATAATTCGGCCGAAAATTTGTTGCATCCCTAGCAGATACTGTATGTTTTTATGTCCATTTGGAAGCTCTAATTGCTGAACTTCATAAATTTGTGGTCTTTTTTTTTTTTTGCAGTGCAGTCCAGCTTTTCTACACAGTCAGAAACATTTTTCACCTATTCTATGATGTTGTGCCTACATATCACAAGTAAGCTGATGTCTTTTTTTAAATAGCAGTATTCTTGCTATACTGTTTGTTTTTAATGTGATTCTGTTTTCCGAAACGCACATTCATAGAGTGGAATATTAAGCGGAGCAGTGACGAGGATAGTGAAACCTGCGCGCTGAACACTGCTGGGCGGTGCGGTGCACCACACTTGGCTGCAATCCAACACAATAACTGCATGTTCATCGCTCATCACCTTTTAACCTTGGGTTTCCAGTTTAAACCTCACCTTCCTTTGAAAGACGGAGTGGCTTATTTTGTAGACTTGGTCCCAGGCTTTAGAAGACTAGGTGAGGGCACACTGACATTTTATGATACTGTTCAAACTGGTCAGTAAGAAATTAATACTTTTATTCAGCATTACAATTAACAATGCATAACAATTCAGTATAGTTCATTTCAAAACTAAATGATACCAAACGGTATATTAGAATGATTTCTGAAGGATTCAGCCTTGTCATCACAGGAATAAATTACATTTTAAAACATATTCAAATAGAAAACAGTCATTTTAAATTATAATAATATTTCACAATATTACTGTTTTTACTGTATTTTTGATCAAATAAATGCAGCCTTGTTGAGCTGTAAAATCTTACCAACCCCAACCTTTTGAACAGTAGTGTACATAGCAATTTTCAGAGATGCTTATTTTGTTTTTTTCCCCTGTTTTTAAACAAGGTGCTCGGTGCTTTGTGGCACAAATGAACGTTCAAAAAGCTGAGATGTTGGAGAGACTGTCCACTGCACGTAACTTCTCCAACTTGGATGATGAAGACAATTACTCTGTAGCCAGCAAGGCTATCAGACAAGTATGATCAAACACCACAAATTCACTGGGTTTTGCTACTTGTATTTAGATACCAGTATATAAGCATATTTGTGCCTAGAGTGCTTGTCACTGATGTTTTATTGCTATTGTTTATTTTAGGTAATTCATCAGCTGAGGAGGTTGGGAAAAGTTTGGCAAGATGTCTTGCCTGTGAACATATACTGCAAAGCCATTGGGACTCTCCTCAATACTGCAATATCAGAGCTGATTAACAAAATTATGATGCTGGAGGTAAGGCAATACATAATGCTGTTGTTGTTGTTGTTTTTGGGGACACCACTTAACTGTTTGAGGTGTAAACCAAGTGCTCTCGTTCCAGGACATCTCTAACGTGGATGGTGAGCGACTGCGAACACTATGTCAAACCATCATAGAGGAAGGGCCGCTGGTCTTCAATCCATTGCCAGATGAAAACAAGAACAAAAAATATCAAGAAGAGGTTCCAGTCTATGTTAAGAAATGGATGACCTTAAAAGAGATCTCCATGGTGCTAAATGCTAATCTACAGGAGATCGTGGACAGGTCATACACTTAATCTTTTATATATGGTTCATTTTAAGGGAAATTGTCTGAAATTCCTTTATTAGCTTTTCATTAATTTTTTTAGGATTATGTATCGAGTTCATAGATTTAATTGGAGCTCACATTAAACATATTTTTCTTCTTATTTAGGTGGGCAGAGGGGAAAGGACCTTTGGCAGTGGAGTTCTCCTGTAATGAGATGAAGAGCCTTATTCGAGCCCTGTTCAAGAACACAGAAAGACGAGCAGCAGCCCTTGCTAAAATCGTCAAATAAACAGCCAAAAGACCAATGCAAAATAACACTACTTGGGGCTTTTCCTTACATATATTGTATTCTATATTTTTCTATTTTGCTGAAAGATGCATTACAATAATGCTTTTCTAAGCACATGCCTGCTCTCTTATCAGTATGCCCTGTTATCAGTATATGAATACTTGAAAAAATACCTCAATAAAATGCAGCAATTGCATATAGTCTTGTTTTAGGCTAAGTTTTTCAATTCATTTTGTTTTATGGAAGATATAAAGGGGGGGGGGGGGGGTT